TTTTTTTTTTTTAAGCTGGTCATTTTTATAAATCGTATATGTCCGGCCTAACTATTTTAAGAAGACATGAATTGTTTACAAAAGAAATTATATATTTATTAATGTGTGATTTTTATCTAAGGGAAATCGTATGCAAATAAAGTTTAAATTTCCCAATATTTCACAATTTGGAATTTCAACATATTATACCTTTCTTAAAATAAATTAAAAGTTCCTCTTCGCTGTACTAAAAATAGTTTAAGCTAAATCCACAGAATCTATTTTAAAATGACTATTTAGGAATAAGAATTTTTTTCCTCTAAACGTAGTACCAAACAATGGAATTGGCGCGATAATCGAAATGCTGGCTGACAAAAACATTGTTCTTACCGTTCTTCTGGACGCTCATCTAAAATAAATGTATAATATTTAATTTTAAAAAAATGTTTGCAAATAGATGGGGCAGTTGGTTCATAATTATGATGTTAAAAAGAGAAAAGCATATGGGAAGTTAGAAATAATAAATATAGGCGAAGTATTTTTGTTTTAATCTGTTATTCAGGAAACTTTGCAGCAAAAGTGGCAGATGTTAAGAAAACAAAAACGATTTCGATTTAATAAATGTTGATGAAACGTGCGCTATTTGTATTCATCCTTAAAATTCTTTTAAAAAAGGCATGATGGCATCAAACAATTAATAAATAACACATATCCATTCTTCAAAAACCATGCTTTTATGGTGGACTAAAATTTGAAAATAGAATTGCACATGTTTGATACTTGACTATTATTACAATTGTAGACATTCATATGTGTGTAAATTTTTTATAATACAGTATCATTATAGTTTCTAGTCTTTAAATTTGCGAAGATGCAAAAGATAAATCAATTAAAAAAATACCGATTTATGGGAACAATAGAAAGTAACACTGGAGCCGCCAGTACAATTTTTATAACCGGTAACTCTAACAAGATTAGCCTTAAATATACGTATCATCAAATATATCTAGACTAGCAATATTTTATGGATTCCTCTAATTGTTATTGGTCAAAGGCCCCAATTACTATTCTTTTTAAAACTTTTTAATAATAAAAAAAAATATTTTTGTTATATTGTTGTACACATTTTGCTCCGGGGGGCACTTGACTTTCCCCGGGGGGGGGGGGTACCTCCTGCAGAGATGGCTGACTCCTGTATGCCTATGAGATTGGCTTGGTCGATAGCAATCAAATTTACTTAGCACTAATCTTTGTCTTAAAATTTAGATTAAAATTCACAGACGCCAAAGTAGAAATCATTCCCTTAAAATTCTTTATGCTTTAATCAATTTATGAAAGTAGATCATTCAATTTATGAAAGTAAGAATTAGTCAATTTATAAAAGTAGATCAGCCAACTGATGAAATTAATAATTATTCAATTTATGAAAGAAGGTCAGCCAATTGATGAAAGTAATAATTAGTCAATTTATGAAAGTAGGTCAGCCAATTGATGAAAGTAAAATCCGTCAAAGTGGATTAATTTTTTTATGTCCACAGCCAGCAAGAACAAGTTCGGTTATGACGTCCACTTCAACCTTCAAAACAACCAATCTCAAATAACTGGCTCTGCCTCATTGAATTGGAACAACCCGGAAGTCACGTGGAAGTATGTCTCGTGCTCCGCGGAACAGAAAAGTAATTACACGCAGTGCGAGTGCTGTTCTCCGCTCGACCCGAAGTGCATTGTCTAAACATGAAATCAGTCGCTTCTTGATTTTGAATTGTAACAGGTGGTAATAAAGCGAAGATATCAGCAAAGAAAGAAACAGCTCTATTATTTGATTTTGTATCTGTTTCCCCGTGATCTTCTCCCCTCTCTCCCTATCTTTTACTCTCTCTATCGATTTCTCTATGTCTCGATCTCTTTATTTATACATCTCTCAATCTCACATTCTCTATCTCCCCCTCTCTTTGTGGGTATATATATATATATATAAATGTATATCTCTCCATTCATCCCACACTCTCTCTCTCTGTCTTTCTCACTCCCACTCTCTCTCTCTCTCTTTCTATATATATATTTATATATATATATATTTATATATATTTCTTTGTAACTCTTCATACTTCCTTTTCCATCACTCCGTCTCTCCCTATCCAATCTCAATCTCTTGCTCAATCTCTCTTTCCCTACTCACCACAACATCTCTTCCCCCGCTTTCCTTAAGTAATGTCATGTCTTGCTTTATGTTAACATTGATCGTTAACAAATTCTGGAAGACAACGTCGGCGGAGACACGTGTGTGCAACAATAACAACCACAACAACAAACAACAAAAAAACACACACACACATTTTCCTCAGAAAGCTGGTGTACCTCAGCCAAACAGTTGCAGGATTTACAACACGTTTTAGTCCGAGAGCAACAAAGGGGAAGCGTACCGTTTCCTCAGCACAACAGATGAAGTCTCCGTCAATAATTTGAACCGTTCTATTCAACTGTAGTTTTCTGGCTGTAGTTGTTGGTTGTATCACGAATTAGTCTAATGGCATAAATAAAAAAAATAAAGCCAATTTTAGGCTTAGGGATCGTCCATTTGGCTATGTCAAACAAAATAAGGGGGGGGGTGGAAATGTTTGATAATTGATGACAAGGGGGAGAGGGGAGTTGACATTAACAATCATGTTTTCTCTATTGAAAATGTAATCTTAAAAATGTACTGGTCATTACATTATATTAAAAAATTTAATGAGTGTAAATTAAAATAGTTATATAATGTTTAGGTTTTAACGATTCAATGTGTGTCTGTGCACTGCTGATGGCTGGTCAGAATGTTAGCACATTTTGTTTGTGCAAGTCAAAAGTTGGCCTCTCTTCGCCTGTAGATTCTGACTGTTGCAAATGACTAGGGTAGTATGTTTGCGATTATGTTGCAGGCATGGAACAAGGACAAGGTTCAAGAGTCATGTGCGGTCAAGATAAATGGTATTGATAGAGTAGGAATACGATAGTTTGAGAATTATAGGAAAGTAAAGTGAGTAACAAAAATAACATCGCTGCATGAACGGATTTTCCAAACCTGTAACATCTATTTTGCATCAGAAGTCATGTTCAAATAGCATGTTCAACAGCACCGACATGACATACGAAGTTACCACCTGCTCCTCAACAAAAAAGGATTCGACTAATGCAAGTAGCTGCCAGGAGACAGAGAGAGCTTGATGCAACACACAAGAAATTTAAAATTCAAATTTTTAAAGTCTTCACGTAGTGCAAATACACATTTATTGTCTCTGGAAAAAATGAAATTTGAAATAATGTAGATACAATTGGTTTATAACTTTGACTAACACATATCAAGCGTATGTCTGTAGATGTGTGTCGTTAAACCCTTACTGTAGCGGGGTTTTTTTCCCCTTCAATTATATGCATTTTATCATTGTTCCATTCCTCCTGTTTACGACCAACGAACGCACACCACTTCAGACGCGCTAGAAGAAGTCAAACCCGCAAAACACTGGCTGTTTTCTTCCCTTCCGATGGTGTTTTGTGGGAGGGGGGGGGGGGGGACGGGATTGGAAGATTTCTAATACTTAAAGGTTACTCTCTATAGGTCTTAATTCCATCTCGGAACAGGTCTTTTTATTTATTTTTTTTTTTTATTTTGAAAGATTAATTTCGACATTTTAACAGTAAAAAAAAAATTTATTCAAACAACTAAAAATGTATTCAAACAACTAATAATTGATTGCTTTATTCAGTCAATATTTATGTATTGCACCACTGATCCGTGCTGTTGTAATACGCAACACGACCATTTATTCTCTGTTATTCTACAGTCATGGGGCGACCCACTTCAGTCATGGGGCGGCCCACTTTAGTCATGGGGCGACCCACTTCAGTCATGGGGCGGCCCACTTCAGTCATGGGGCGGCCCACTTCAGTCATGGGGCGACCCACTTCAGTCATGGGGCGGCCCACTTCAGTCATGGGGCGGCCCACTTCAGTCATGGGACGGCCCACTTCAGTCATGGGGCGACCCACTTCAGTCATGGGGCGACCCACTTCAGTCATGGGGCGACCCACTTCAGTCATGGGGCGACCCACTTCAGTCATGGGGCGACCCACTTCAGTCATGGGGCGACCCACTTCAGTCATGGGGCGGCCCACTTCAGTCATGGGGCGACCCACTTCAGTCATGGGGCGGCCCACTTCAGTCATGGGGCGGCCCACTTCAGACTTTGTCTTGGATTTTGCAAATGATTTTTTTTTCACTTCAAATTGGGGAATCGTTAGCATACGACATTCTAGAGAATCACGTGACTGTGTCCTATCGATATGTTCTGGCTGTACTTATTTTATGTCAAGAAAAAGTAGTTCATCTCCGCGTGGACGCCAGATTCCTGAGCATTACAACGCGCTGACAGCAGTGATAAGGGTTCTGTAGTGTTTTTACCATCGCCCCAACGTGTTGTTAATTGCATGTTGTGAAAGTTGGTGTTTTGTTGTTGTTTGTTGTTGTTGTTGTTTTAATTTTTAAAGAAAGACAATGAATTTAGTGACATTCACACTGGGAATATTTCTTGGCCAGGTCTATGGGGAACGGGGCTCGTTGTCACAATGAAAATTTTCATACCCTCCCCCCCCCCCATATTATAATGGATTTTTACGCACAACTTAATTTTTTTTTTTAAATTACGTTTACAAGTCACAAGTTGGGAATATTTCTTGGCCAGGTCTATGGGGAACGGGGCTCGTTGTCACAATGAAAATTTTCATACCCTCCCCCCCCCCCATATTATAACGGATTTTTACGCACAACTTAATTTTTTTTTTTAAATTACGTTTACAAGTCACAAGAAAGTGGAAGATGTTTATTTGCTATCTTGTAAAATATGACAAGTATGACAGGATCTGCAGTAGTCTACAACTTCTTAATGGGGAAAAACAGAGTGCTAAGTTATTGTGCGATAAGTCTTATTTACTCCCAAATAGACTGTAAGGAGGTGAGGCATTGGCTGAGTTCGGTATTTCGTTCATGGAATGCTGTTCCTAGAGCAATTTCAAGATTGACTGAAGTACCTTTTGGAGAAATCACTTTTGCACCGAGATCTATGAACTCAGGGGTCCTGGTAACAGCACATGCTTGAAGTTAACTCCGAAACTTCATCTTGAGATTCAATCATTCAGGTTTCATGAGTAAGGATGGGTTCGGCTATCACCTTCCCACCAGCTCAGTTATTAACTAGAAGTAATTAGATGCCGTCCAATGGAAACGCTTGTCAGACTCCCACAATCACAGGTCCGGAAAATTAGATCTGACTTGCCGATCAGTAAGATGTAAAGGGCACATCAATGCAACCCAGCTCTACGTCTCGAAACAGGATGTTGCTTCCATCAGTGGTAGTTTTAGACAAGGGGAGTATACCCTCAAGTAGTAAGGACTGTGAAGCATATGTGTCTCATACAATCTTGATGAGTCGTAGAGTGGAATAATCACCTGGCAGAGAAAGAAATACTTCTGATATGTTAGGCATAAAATGTTGAATAAAAGCATAATTTTTTTTATGTCTAAGGGTAAACCTTGGTAGGAAAACTCTTGTCGGAGTTTTGAGATCATCTGGCTGAGTTAGGTGCATGCAGTAAAACTCTAGGATGTCATTCCTGGAGCAAAATTATCTTGGCGACAAGCTCATCAAAACAGAAGTCATAGCAGGAAGCGACTGGACTCGGTTAAACTAGACTTATTGTTCAAAATGAAAACTCTTAGATGAGTCATGACAAACCTCTTTGATAAGTCGTCACAAACCTCTTTGATAAGTCATGACTGACAAACCTCTTTGATAAGTCGTGACAAACCTTTTTGATAAGTCGTGACAAACCTCTTTGATAAGTCGTGACAAACCTCTTTGATAAGTCGTGACAAACCTCTTTGATAAGTCGTGACAAACCTCTTTGATAAGTCGTGACAAACCTCTTTGATAAGTTGTGATAAACTTCGGTGAAAATGATATGAACATTTTGTGAATGAGCATAAAGTGTTGGATTTTTATCTGACGTATAACAAGACGTACAAGTGGAGACTTAGTGAGTTGACCAGGATGCGTGGCCTTCTCATATTTCTTCATGAGTTTCCAACAATCATCCTTCTTAGGACACTCCTGTTTACGATAGGATCAAACGACTCTTACGTCATAGAATGGTTGTTACGGAGGAGGGCTCTAGTCCTGACTTATCACAAACTATATTGATTTAGTATAAGTGTTCAGTACAGGACCGCTCCTCTCTGTGAAATGATATATTTTGAGTATCCAGGCGTTGAGACAGACAAAAGCACAACGTAGACTTGAATGAAAACTTAACACCTCAAACTCCAGGTGTCCAGATGATGCAATAGTATGTGCTTCTTTCTAATATACAAAGTTCTTCTGTTTTTGCCGCTAACTGTCAACAGTCTATGTATACCTTTATAGCTACGACTGTTTCTGAACTGTTCAAATGTATCGTCTCATTTATTCTTATGTTGGGCTATTTTACTCGTCTTCTGATCTCTTGCAGTTATTCCCTATCAACTGTCCTCTTTCAACTCTTCCCGCTTGACAATATCTCTCAGCTCATATCTATCAAACCACCCCCCCCCCATGTCATGAAGAGATCTTTCTTATATACGATTCTCTACCTCCGTAGTGGTCCAGGAATGTTCTCTATTAACACATC